ACCACCAAACTAAAGCAAATAAGTTTTTTATCCGACATCAATCTTTTGATGTCGTTCCTAAGTGCACATCAAAACTGAAGTGCATTCATAGATTTTATGAATATATTTACTTACTCTGAAGCTGCTCCATTAATTTGGCTCTTGAAACAGCTCCTTTACCAGCCCAGTTTGCCTCTCTCTTCAGATCTTCTGGGGAAGTACACATGAGAAATCTAAAAAAAACAAAAAAAACAATTTATAATGTGTCAATTTGTGATTAATAAATTCATCTATTTGTCAATGCTCGACTCATTGAATACATGTACCGGTACTCAGTATGTCCCGTCCCTCTTTTACATTTGTAATATTTACTGATAAGTGAATGTACATACGTATAACAAAACTTAAATGCCACTGAAAATGAATACTTTTACAGTAAATATATTTGAAATCATTTTTGGAGTATTCCAAATGTAGGTACTAATATTCATTACCATAACAGAATAAATCAATTGTATCACATCCATTTACAGTGATTTACAAATTCAATTGTTTGTATTGCCTGGCCTAACCATATGTCATAAAAATCCATACGGGACTTAAATATTGATTTAATTTTATATTCACTTCTGATTATCAAAAAATGATTACAATTTTATAAAATAATATTCTGCAGTATACAAAAACTACATGCGTACCACTAAACACGAAAAACAGAAGTCAACAGTTTGGTGAACAGTTGTCAAATGAATTGCAAACCACTAGACAGTACATGCAGAAATAATATCATAAATCTATCTGTGAAATAAATTAAAAATTGACCAAACAAAGCAGATGTTTGTAATGTTTGTTACATATAAAATGAATATAACTACAATGTATCATTCCAACCAAATATTTTATTTTGAATGCCAAGTACTATTAATAATATATATCCTCAGATACCATATTTACTCATTTAGTACCGTAAAATCTGTATTAAAAGCTGCATCCCTAGAAGTCGCACTGTTTCTTTTTGAATAATTTAGAACTAAAAATTCATCATTTCTCATACGTGTAGATGCTCTAATAGAAGCCACATCCCCTCTGTTGCATTGTACCATTTTAAATGGGAGTCATATTTTTGGTTTATGTGTGCTTGTATTATAGCAAACAGGGTACTTCATACTGCTCCATCATGTATTATGTAAGCAATATAAACAGATCATACAATTATTACAAAATGTATACATTGCATCTGATCTGACAGTAATAGAATTTAGTCGTCCTGATCACTGAACACAAACAATCACACAATCTTGATTCTGATATCTCACTATTTTATGACCACAAGCTTGAAAAGATGTATAATATATAAACTTCTAAATAGTAGAGTATCACATGTCACTGCCCATCCATTTATCATGCCTGTTCAACCAAGTAGAGAAGAATATATTCCATACTTCCCTAACCTGCTGTCAATATCTCTAGTATGCGTGTTTATGCATTACATTACACCTCAATTCTGATGAACTCAGTAAGGCAGTGATATTTTCAGGACGACAGATTTGTACCACATGATTTAATTAACCTTAGGGGAGAGGCATACTCCACAGTAACAAGAATTCCAATGCCTATAAATCACAACATTTCTGACAAGCCACATTTTTACAGATGACAGGAAAGCATATTTTCCCATGGGTTATTTGATATCAATCTATACAGTACAGGTTACAAGGTTTCCAGAACAGAACAGGAAAATTAAGATGAACAAGTAATGACACTGTCTGATGCATTAAGAAGCTGAGTGATATAATGGATAGAGCCCATCAACAATATGTTTAACAGAAATAGCAAAATGCTAAAAATAGCCAGCCAACCTTATTATTTAAATTACAATTACAGGCTTTAAATGATATCCATGTTTATATGAATATAACTATTTTTAGAAACATTGTATTTGAATTTGGTTGAATTGACATTTGAGGACAAAGAAAATATTTTATTATGTCGTTGACATAAACTACTTTGAATTGCATTCTCACAAAAATCTGTTAAAGAACGTCTGATACATGACACATAATAAACAATATGACTACAAAATATATCAGTTTAAATAAAATTGGTCATATCAGGGATTGAACATAACAGCCCCAGACGTTGCAGAGAAAGTTTACATTTTGGGTCTTGCTAGAATCAAAGTGATGCATATACATATAGGTATAAAAGGCTTATATTTTGTCTTTGTATTGAATTTGTTATTTGAGTATTTATAAAAATATTTTCTGAAGATTGCCTAGACAAACCTACGAAATGCAGACAACTATATAGCAGTCCCAAATTTTCAGACCAAGTCTGAACAAGGAACTAAATTAGGAATTAATGCGCCTCATTGATTTGACAGAAAAATAACAATGTTTGATATATAGTTGGACAAGAGACAGAATAATTGATTCGCCATGCAGTCTTTATATATTTGTGGGTCATGTTTTCAATCAAATATCATGAATGTCACCTACATGTATTATGATCTGTTTATGATTTAATTACATAAATCCATGCATATGATATCTTAAATACACAAAGGTGGGCATTTAAAAAAAAGGTCACCATTTATCTATCTATAATTGGAATGTGATCTGACATGGTACATTTATCTGACCCATTGCTCCAGACAGAACCAAGAAGCAGCAGTGCACTGATGTGTGAACACAGTCATGTATGTGAATGCACAATTAGGCTGAAACTATAAACAAAATTACAGAATCAAAATGTTATTGACATGATGGTGGTTCACTATTCTCAAAAGATTAGCTACTTTCACTAGTATACATGTACATACTCCTGTAGCTTTAAAACACTTGTTCAGTTAATACAGAATAATACCTCAATCAACACTATTATTTATACTCAGATTATTATCCTACATTACCAGAAATGATGACATGATAACACACACACATACACATGCAAGATACAAGCTGAACCAATATGTTCAGCACTCAATACCATAAGCAATGTCATAACATTGCTACATGTATAATAGATGGAAACTTTGCTAAATAAGCATAAAACATCTAGAAGAGATATTAAATGTAGCAAAACAATCAGATCATTCATCATTATGACAACGATGACAAGTCCATGTGAGCATGTTGGGGCTGGAGAAAGGT